TCTCGTGCAGGGCGATACATTCCACCTCACCTGAGGAACAAAGAGGCTTCAAAAAACGGTGAGTTTTACCAGTATGCTGAGCCTCCGTCAGTGCTGGACTGACTTTTTTCTTGGTGTCAGAAGCTCATCAGAGCATGGTAAAAGCCAGCTTAATTGAGAAAGAGCAGGTTTTACACGACATTTTGTAACTAATTTATGCTCAGTTGCAAAGAGAAAGCTGTGTCAACTGGGTTTGTCTTTCCTAGGACTTAAACCCAGGTGTCTCCCTAGCTGGAGGCCGGGCTACTGCAGATTAAATAAAAAGTGCTAGCTAATGGCTGCTCAGATGCAGCGTAGGCTTGCGGTAGCTTTAACCCTTATATTACCTTTTAATTTTCCAACGTTTCTGGTGTTTAAACACACAAAAAATGCACATACAAAACTTCCTATAGAAACAATACATACATCACATGTCCCAGTTTTTTATATGAATTTCATCCTTGGCTTCTGCCCTAACAAAATATAATAAAAAGGTGTTTTTTAGATTTACACCTTTATTGCCATGTTTGATCAATACCAGATTTGTGAAAACAATGTTTATATAAACATTGGATAATCAATTCATCTTTTATCTTTTATGTTCAGATGACCTGTTATGGGGTTCAACTGTCACAGTCTTGGAGTGTCACAAATAAAACATTTTCTCACACAATACTTCCTCGTATCATATTTCATAAGTCCCAATTTTTTTACATAAAATTTGTGCCTGGCTTCATTCCTCACAAAATCTAATAAAATATTTGTGCGTTCCTGAGATTTATCCCTTTTATTTTCCTTTTGTCAGGTATGTGATCATAACAAGAAATGTAAACAAATAAAAAAAAAAGATTTGTGTGGGTTATGTCCAGATAATTTTGAGGACTATTGTTCGACACATTGTAGTGTCATAAATGAGCATAAAATATTTTCATTACATTTTTTCTTTTTATTTGAAGGCAGTGTTAGTTATTGTCCCGGTATACAAAGGAAACACGCACAATCTAGTGGAACTTGTTACAAGCTCCAAATTGAGTCTGCGACTGGCCTGAGATCCTAGACAGAATAGAAAAAAATATATATATTCTAATTTTTGGGCTTATTAGAAGAAAATACTTATGAGGATGACCAAAGGAATTTTTTTAATTATTTTTGTTATTTCCCCAAAAATAGATAAATTGCATTAGCATAGTCAAAATTACACCTGTGCGCAAAACAAATGCACTAAAAACATCTAAAGGCTAAATCAGGACGCGTCAGCTCAGGCTCTGTTCTGTTAGTGTTCAGGATGAGATGAACATACTGTTAATTAATTTCTGTTCTCTGGCCTATCACAGATTTAAAGCAAGGCAGCAGATAATTCTCTATTAAATGGACTAGGAGTTGTGGTACTGTCACTGCAGACCTGACCTTTGTTCCACTTTTTACTGTTTTCTTATTCCACAGCAGGAAATGCCTTTTCCGCTGGTAGACAGTGTGGTTTTTCTGTGGTACCTGTAAATTTCTGTAAGTCCCTTCTGTCTGCTTTTGCTAAGGGCAAATGGCATTTCCAGATGCACCAAATCAGTTATACACACCAGCCACGTGAGGCGCAGGGAGGAGTTAAGCTGCAGCAGACATATTTATTTGGTAGGGTGGGGGGAAGAATTCATTTTATTGCTCTTTGCCGAACAATAATTTGCCTGTGGGGCTGCTCAATTAAACAAATTTTAACCACAATTACGATTTGAGTTTTGAACGATCATAAAAACGAAACAAGCTTATCCGATCGCTGTACCCAGAACAATTTTTACATGAACTGGTGGGACCTGTAAATGGTGTAGAAATAAGTTCCTCGCGCTAACTAATGCAGAAACCATTGAACTGGTTTGAATTAATCTTTTTATTTTTGAGTTGAAGCTTTGTTTAAAGTGCGCATCACAGTCTGAACACGTTTTATTGGCGCACAACACTAATCTAGGTGCAGTAGAGGAAAACGGAGGAACCAGCTAAGACGAACCTCTGTAACAAGCAGACATTCCAAAGTTTGGGACCAAGAGTGAAATTATGAGCAGAATTGCTAATGCTAAGCTAGCGCATTGCATGCTCAAAAACAGTGCTGTTGTGAATCCCATTTATCCGTGGATGTCTGCAACGGTGTGAGGCAGAGCCGCTGCAGCTACCAGGAATCTGGTTGTTGCTGAGAGTCAAGTCTGCTCGGCTCCACAACGCAGCAGGCCTATGTATGGCAAACTTTGTTCCCAAAAATGTTTATTAACTAGATCTCAGTTTCAGTCAAAATAACGGTTGTCGTTTTTGCCATAATCGAGCAGCCCAATTTACCTGCAATGATCGTGAGCATTGCCCGCCCCAGCAGGCTATCCTGTCTGATAACTATCTCACGAGCCTGCCCTTGGCTCAGTCTTTTTATAGCCTGCCTTCCTACTTTTGCTCAGGTTACCAAAGACTGGCTTCTCAAGAGCTTGCCTTTTACCATGCCTACAGTGGTGGCTGGCCAAACAGATGTGGTACACCTGGACTTTACCTGCATGTTGTGACTTTAATATAACTGAGCACTAAGGCAGAGCCTACATCTGGCCATAACACATCTGTCAGTGTTTGATCCTGCTTGTGATGGTGCTTCACTTGTTTCTGACTAATGCGATTATAGGCTGTGGTGGTCTTTGTCCCCATGTTGTTAACTCCCGTTCGCTTGATTCAAGTGTTCGAACTTTGTTTGCTTCAGAGTAACCCACTTTTGTGCACACGGTCCAAAGTTTGTGTGAAACACGGTTGGGTGTTTGCACTGTGAAATGGAGTTGTCTTACTGTAACAACACAACTTCAATCCAGAGCTACTTGAACTGGAAACACCCACTGTTCACGTTAAATTAAGACTCGACAAATGAAAGAAAAAATCTGCTGTTCTTGTAGATGACTGCAGTTGCGTGGAGAGGGAATACCTGGAGTCATGTTAGTGTGTTGCTGCAGTCTACGGCAGGTCGTTGTATGTAATAACATACGTCTTTAAATATAATATTAGATTGGATTACTGTCCGTGTATATTTTTAGAAATACGACACAGACACATTGTTATCAGAATTTAATTTCTACTTAAAGTTGGATTTTTAAACACAGAATTTGTTTACCTCTGCTTGAAAGTTTGGCACATAGAATATTTGACAGAGGATTCAATGGAATATGTTTATGTATTTAGCAGATGCTTTTGTCCAAAGCGACTTACAAGTGATAATCGGCACGTTGCCCTTGAGGATAACAACAACAATATTCAGATATAAGTCAATTTTAGTCCAAGTTAACATGAAAGGGGGTCTTTGACCTGCAAGTCAATTAAAAGTGGAGGTCACACATCATACCGTTGACCTGTTTTCATGTCGGCCTTCAGCCACTCTGCTCTGTGGCACAGCTCCAGCTTTAGAGCTTTGTTATTGCGATGTTGACACTGATGGGCACACCAAGTGTCCAAAGGTCAGCAGATTGTTGTTCACGTCCCGTGCGAACAGAGATTTAAAGAACCTCAGAACAGACCAATAATCAAACACTAAAAAATCTTGTTAACTACTTTAGACTCGAGTGCCATGGCCCGTCCCGGGTCACACATCAATTTATATGTACCCCTTCAGTATTAAAGACGAATCAGACAAATTTCTAGTCTGCTGGATGTGGCAGTGTGTTAAGTCAAGCTCAAAGGTCATTAAATCGGTGTTTCAGTTTGTTTTCATCAAAAACATTTTCATGTTTGCTATTACTTTTTTATATTTTTATCCATAAGTATGCAGTATTTATACAGGTGATCCCTCGTTTATCGCGGTAAATGCGTTCCAGACCTGGCCGCGATAGGTGAAAATCCGCGAAGTAGGGACACCATATTTACAATACAGTACTATATTGTATGATCACATTCTCTTTTTGTGGGTAAAACTGAAGAAAAATTTTTTTTACTTGGTTTTTTTATAGTTTTATTACAAAAAGTGCATTTTATGATGAAATTGATGAAAAAAACAGGAATTTCTTGATATTTCGCATAGAAAAATGCAGCGTATTTCCCTTGAATAAGGCTCCAAAGAAAAAATCCGCTAAGTCGGGAATCCGCGATAAACGAACCGCGAAGTAGCGAGGGATCACTGTATACCCAATAAGTTTATAAAATGCTCTTAACAAAATACATACTACCTAAGCCACCCTCCCCACATTTCAAATTACATGAAGACATTCAAACATAATGTTGAATTATAACAAACTCCAGAGAAAGAAATAATATATAATAAAAAATAAATAAATCAAATGTATGCATATATACACTCACAGAAACACACGTATGTATCTACATCCTAGCATCAAGAGCTGTATGGCCCTCAAAGCAAATGGTATAAACACTAGGATATCTAGAAAACAGTTAATATCAAAGCTCACGGTGACCTTGAGATGTCTATAGTTCAGAGTAGAACAGTTTAAAACACTTATTACAGTGTTGTCTGTTGGGTCTTGTCTTTTAGTGAGAATGCTGGCTTTACCCCCATGTTCATAGTTGATATAGCAGGCTTTAAGACTAGTTGAGCAGCTCTGTCTGTAGGAAGCAAGTCTTACTCTGTTTGTAGTTACAACCGTTCTATAAAAAGGTCAGTGGATGGTGAGACTGAATGTTTCATCTACTTCGGCCATTGAACCTGATGAGTCATTTAATTTAGCATTTTTAACTTTATTCGTCCATGAGGAATATGCAATCATCTGTCCCCATAAGTAAGAGTTAAGGGTTTCCCATAAAATAGAAACTGATTTGTTTCTAGAGAAGTTTTTTTCAGAAGTTCTATATTTAGTGGAATCATCTTCCACTGAGAGAAAAGTATTTAGACTCTTAATTACGGCAAGGCCTTGGACGGTCTGGTATCTGCAAAATAAAACATGCCGCATGGTCTGATACAGTTGTTCTGTGATTTGCCAATAATCTATTGTCAACCATTATGTTTGCATTTCCAAAGATTCACCAGGATGGGATAACGGACGCACCAATGGATTTGTGAATGGATTCCATGACAACCGCACAAACGGAGGCTTTGGAGGGCGGGGGCCCCTTCGCAACGATAGAGGTGGGCGTGGCGCCTACCGTGGTAACAGGGGTGGAGGCTCGTTTAATCAGCCATTACAAAGTACAGGTGGGGAAATGCTGCTGTCCCTTAAAGCTGTAGACCCAGATAGTGTCATCCATGTAGGCTCTATTCCCCACTCCTCTAATAGTTTGATTTTATGAAGTCTGAGACATTCAGCCATTGAGCATCGTTGGCTAGATAGTGTGACTCCCAGTGAAGGTTTACTTTAGGATCCACGGGTTTATCTCTGCCCTTGGTAAGAAGCAGACATTTCAGATGATTTGCTACATGAGTTTTATTTCACCTTTGACATATTTTTATTCCTTCCATACAGGTTTTGGTGGTTTTGAAAACAAAGATGGTGGCTGGGGAGGGCCCCCTAGAGATGCTGCCTACAACAGCTTTGGTGGGCGTAATGATAGATCCAAATCTGCTTTTAATGACCGTGGGGCGGGCTCCAGAGGAAGGTGTGTGAAAGTCCTCTAAACAGTTTAGTCTTCGTGTCGTTTCCTCCTCATAAGCTTTTCTCCCCGTTGTGGTTACAGGTATGAGCGGGGGGGCTTTGCTGGTGGAGGAAACAGCCGTTGGGTGGAGGACTCCAGAGAGGACGACTGGTCTAAACCAACTGCTCCTAATGAACGACTGGAAAAGTGAGTGGTATTTTCCTGAGAGCCAGACAAACACCTGGACTGAGCTGAACTCACCTGTAAACATTATTTCTCAGTGAGCTCTTTTCTGGAAGCAACACTGGGATCAACTTTGAGAAGTATGACGACATTCCTGTGGAAGCTACTGGAAGCAACTGCCCACCCCACATTGAGAGTGTAAGACTGCTGCTCTAGAGCATGCTTCTGATCAAATAGACACGTGTTTACACTCTGGGCTGTTTGGTTTCTGTAGTTCCATGATGTGGACATGGGGGAGATCATCATGGGCAACATCACCCTGACTCGTTACACCCGTCCCACTCCAGTCCAGAAACATGCTATACCCATCATCAAGTCCAAGAGGGACCTGATGGCTTGTGCCCAAACAGGTTGGTGTTTGCACAGATAAACTGATCAGAATCAACCTTTAGTCTTGTTCTAACTGAGCTGGGGGGTTGTTTCAGGTTCTGGTAAGACTGCAGCCTTCCTGCTGCCAGTGCTGAGTCAGATCTACACAGATGGACCAGGAGATGCTCTGCAGGCTGCAAAAAACAGTGGACAGGTAAAGGAGACCATCCAACCTAAATGTGTCCCGCAGTATTTCTCACTTGTTCTAAAGGGCGCGTTTTAAACCCCCAGGACAATGGAAGATATGGCCGGCGTAAGCAGTACCCCATCTCCCTGGTCCTGGCCCCCACCAGAGAATTGGCTCTGCAGATCTACGACGAGGCGAGGAAGGTAGGCTTGTGACTATTGCATGAATCTGATGACTGCTCTGTGTGTGTGCGCGTGTTAATCTGCCTTTGCTGCTGTCCCAGTTTGCGTACCGCTCTCGTGTGCGTCCCTGTGTGGTCTATGGAGGAGCTGATATTGGCCAGCAAATCCGGGACTTGGAAAGAGGCTGTCACTTGTTGGTGGCCACACCTGGACGTCTGGTTGACATGATGGAGAGGGGCAAGATTGGTCTGGACCACTGCAAGTCAGTAGAGCTCTTCTAATGAAGGTTTGTGTGTGTGTATATGTTAATCAGTCATTATAAAATGTGTGCAGCTTCCTGGTCCTGGATGAGGCTGACCGTATGTTGGACATGGGCTTTGAACCACAAATCAGACGCATCGTGGAGCAGGACACGATGCCACCAAAAGGTATCCGTCAGACCATGATGTTCAGTGCCACGTTCCCTAAAGAGATTCAGGTAAGTGCATTCCTGATTCTTTCGTCTGTGTGTGTTGTTTAGGCTCACTAATGGTGATTCTGCTTTTAGATTCTGGCTCGAGACTTCCTGGAGGATTACATTTTCCTGGCAGTAGGCCGTGTTGGTTCCACTTCAGAAAACATCACCCAGAAGGTGGTGTGGGTGGAGGAGAACGACAAGAGGTCCTTTCTTCTGGACTTGCTTAATGCCACAGGTTGGAGAACATTCATGCTAACACCTTGTTACATTATTAACTGAAAGAAAGAACTTGAAGACCAAGGTACTCGTTTTGCCAACACCTGCAGTGGTCTCTAGTAGGGCCGGGGGTAAACGATTATTTTTAAAACGATTATTCTGACGATTATTTTATCGAATAGTCGACTATTCTAATGACTATTTAGAAAATTAATCTAATGATTATTTTTCTATTGCACAATTAACAAAAACCAGAAAATCTCAAATAAATTCCTCAAAAAAATTGATAAATTCTTACTGTAAGAGAATAAACACTACAGGCCTTCCATTTTGTATAACACTGCGTTTATTGTGTTGCGGTTGGTTATGTTCTGGTGACATGTAGAACTTGGGAGTGCAGGCTGCTGCCTGAGAGGTGGTAGAAGATGGAGTGTCTCCATGCTGCTTTGTTTTGGTCACTTATGTGCGTGAGGCGAGTGGTCTTACGGGTTAAACCAAACTCAGGTGATATTTTACACTAAACCGAAAACCCACAACACTCTAAATGTAATAAAAGGGAGATCTACACCACAAAAAAGATGAACTCTAAACCAAAACGTAACGGCTTATCCCAACGCAAGAAGCTGTTAGCGAAGATGCTAACAGTAGCTTTACCAACGTTAAGTTCAAGTTACCAAGTTTAAATAAACCAAAAACACCCAGCAGCAAACAGACCAGCACGGAGGAGAGACTGCTACCACCAAAACAGCTCTCCTAATGTCTGAAAGAAGCTCCTTAATGAAGGGAGAAGCGCTCCCGGTGATTTTCTACATCTGCGATAGACACGAAGCAGCGCATCTGACCCCGGAAGTTGTTGTCCGTTGCCGGGAGACGAAGGCGGGCAAAACAGGAAAATAATCTAGTAGTGGACGGACGTTGTTCCGGGTCTTCGGTATTTGGCGGAGATGTTGGTGAAGGCGGAGAAGAGGGCGAACTACAGGAAAAACAGGCAGATTCTTCCTCTATTTACAAACTCCTGGGGATGCAACAAGTGGGCGCGGTGCGTCGACTTCCGGATCTGACGTCGACAAATTTTTAGAATCGAGCCGTCGACTTCGTCGAGGCTTCGCTACAGCCCTAGTCTCTAGTATAAGTTGTGAGTCGATGGCCTCTTTTTAGAAAACAATGCCACCAATTTGCTGCAATGCTGAGCTGGCATCGGGGAGTTTTAGGTTGTTCTTTAGCTGTCAGACCGTGGTGGTAATCTGGTCCTTTTTATAATAGTTACTTCGGCAGTAATGCCCCACATGATCATGGCATCATCCTCTGTTGTGCCAAGGCGTCATATGCATTCACAAGTCAGGTGTGGCGGCATGCTGATGTGGGAATTTTGTGACCTTCAAGCTGCAAAGTTCCTGCATCACCATGCTACCACATTGCATTCATAAGACACACCATGGTGGCAGTTTTACGCTGATGCTGAAAGACACCACAACTCATCTGGTCTGGGTTGACCCTTGGGACAGCCACAGCTGTGGTGGAGGTGAGACTTTCACTCTGCATTTGGCTGTACCAGGTCTACACGATGTCCTCCCCTACCATCTAACACCACCAGGTGGCGATCAAGTAACGGTTCCAAAACACACAACAGGTCAGATGATGCTAAGCCAATCTGACCTGTGACCTCAGCTGCCCCGGTGCCACATTCCCCAACGGTCTTATGCTTGGGTTCAGATCAAAGTGTGCTGTGGTCCCATCACGCCCCTTCAGGTTGCACCAACATTACCCAGAAACGCTAGTCTGTTGCAGCTCAACTTGCTGCTTGTTTCTGAAGCTGTAGAAAGCACAGACAGAACCCACTACCTGTCCTGAAGATCTAGCCTTCAGGTTCTTTCTCTTCAGAGATGAGGCAGATGATCACGTTAGCAGGCCTGGCCCCAGAGAGCCCTATGGTCAGTTGTCAAGAAGGGTCTTCTGGGCTGGTGTTTCTTCGTGTTTGTCCTTCTCCCAGGATTTATTTGCCACAGGAGACCCTACTAAGGGTAAAAGGCCAACTGCCCCAGCATCGAGAGTCACTGTGGTTCCCCAACTCCACCAAGGTATGGTGGGGGTTCAAGAGTTGGAAACAAACCATCTTTCTGTGCTTCTGTGTTCTTCCAGGTAAAGACTCATTGACCCTAGTCTTTGTGGAAACGAAGAAAGGAGCAGATGCTCTGGAGGACTTCCTGTACCGTGAGGGTTACGCCTGCACCAGTATCCATGGAGACAGATCCCAGAGAGACCGAGAAGAAGCTCTGCATCAGTTTCGCTCTGGACGCTGCCCGATCTTAGTGGCTACAGCTGTAAGCTAGCTCTGATTTTATTCAATAGCATGGCTGTTATGTGTAGACCTGATTGGTGCACAGAGCTTTATTTATAGGTGGTTCTGGGGGTCAACTATTTTCAAAACGTTAATTCTGTGGATATTTTACCGGATAGTCGCCTATTCTAGTGACTAAACCATTAATCTAATGATCATGTTTCTGTTGCGTGATTTAAAAAAAAACAGAAAACCTCAAATACACCAAAAAGTTTAATAAACTAGTGCTGTGATAGAAGTAACATTACAGGCCTTCCACAATAAAATCAGCTCTACGTGTAACCGTTGAGTTCCTACCCTCACCTATGGTTTTCTGTGTTGGGAGAGGCGGGCGCTCTGTGTGACTGGCCAGTCACAGAGTGCGAAGACAGTCCGTTACTCAATCAGGATTTTCCTTCTGCATGGACATAGATCTTGCCAAATTTTACTTCAGATGCTTGAACCAGTCTGAAACGTGTATCTGGCTCAACCCTAGTTCCTGCCCTCACCTATGGCCACGAGCTTTGGGTAGTGATTGAAAGAACGAGATTGTGAATGACAATTTTCTCCACTGAGTGGCTGGGCTCCTCCTTAGAGATAAGGTGAGAAGCTCAGTTATCCAGGAGGGGCTCAGAGTAGACCCACTGCTCCTCCACATCGAGAGGAGTAAGTTGAGGTGGCTCGGGCAAATAAGAGGAAATGCGTCTTAGGATCAACTACCGGATTTGACGTGGACTATTTTTACGAATCGAGCCGTCATTGGCGTGTCGCTATAACTAGCTCTAGGAGCGCTAAAGCAACATAACTCAAGATTCATCGGTTACGGGGTGTTAAGTGGGCTTCAGACATTTACAAAGTTTCAGCAGGTCACGCATTTATAAACCAAAGGTTTTGAGTAACTGGGTCCTGTTCATGATGATGGGTGCCGTATAACCAGTCTACGGCTTTTATAGCAGCTCTAATGAACAAATTTATCGTGTCATGGTAGAAGTTGTCTCCACAGTCAAGTCTAGTCTCGGACGCTTTGAAGGACAGGAAGTGTTAAAGGGGTTTTGTTGTGCTCCTGTGTCCAGGTGGCTGCTCGAGGTCTGGACATCAGCAACGTCAAACACGTTATTAATTTTGATTTGCCCAGTGACATTGAAGAGTACGTTCACCGTATCGGCCGTACGGGGCGTGTGGGCAATCTAGGTAGGTGATGAATTACCCATTAGTTTACCTTCTGAATGGTCAGTGTGACATTCAGACTGAAATGTTGTTTTCAGGTCTGGCCACGTCGTTCTTCAACGACAAAAACAGCAACATAACCAAAGATTTGCTGGACATCTTGGTTGAGGCCAAGCAGGAGGTTCCTTCCTGGCTTGAGAGCCTGGCCTACGAGCACCAGCACAAGAGCACCAACCGAGGACGCTCCAAAAGGTTTGGATCTCAAGCACAGACGCACTCTCCACGGTTCACCCACAGACGCCTAGGCTGAGTGGTGCTTTTGCTGTCTGAAGCTCTGATGAATGTTTTATTCAGGTTCTCGGGTGGTTTTGGAGCCAGGGACTACCGTCAGGCACCTGGTGGTTCTGGAGGCTTCAGCAGCAACCGTGTAGGGCGAGGTGCTGGAGGCCACGGAGGAAATCGTGGCTTTGGTGGAGGTAATGGAGCTGTGGCATGGCTTGTTTCCATTTAACTGGTTGGACTGGTCACATGGAACCGTTTTGTCTTCACAGGTGGTTTTGGTGGCAACTTCTACAGCAACGATGGCTACGGCGGAAACTACAGCCACTCTGGTAGTGTGGATTGGTGGGGAAACTAATCAGCATAGGAATAGGTTGCCATGCCAACCCGATAAAACTACATGTTGACTTAAGCCAGACTGTAACAACCCTCCCTGTGTAGCTTCAGTGACTGAACATTTCCGACCCGGTTCTCTGCCGTTGGCTTCTCAAGGGAAGTGCAGCACGACGCAAAAGAATCACCAGCACATGCACCTGACCGGAGCCAGCAGAGATTTGCACACTTCAAACGAGCATGGGCGCTAACATGCACTGCCCCACAGCAACCTGGGCTTGACTGTTGGGGGGGTTCTGTTCTGATTGTGGGGTTTGAACCCTGGGTCAGACCAGAGGACCATCTGTATGTGGCTGTACTGTGCCTTTTGAATTTAAACGGGAAATTACTTATTTCACCAGATTAAAAGCGGCCACGAGCTCAACATTTGTTTTCTACTAATGTTTCAAAAGAAACCTGGAAAGGTAAATAAGCTTGGACTTAACCAAACCTTGGCAAAACCACAGGTGTTGTGGCTCTGAGTCACCATTCCATCTGAACCTCAAATTTACTGCAGGAACATCGTGTTGCTTTTTATCCAACAGCTGAAGGAGCCGTCATGTTCCAACCTGGGCCACTTTAGAAACGGTTTTAATCCGAAGAGACAAAGTCACCCATTTGTTAACTTGTGGTTTTTGTTTTTGTTTTGCTCACTCTATCCTGGACAGGCTCTGTTTATGGATACGGTAGTCTTCAAAATTAGCCATTCCTATCGTGATGACAGAAGTCATTAAGCTCAGTGCCAACGATCACTGAGGCGAAACTCGATGACTCCATGCTGGAACTCGTCACTCGCAGGTCCTTCAGTGACTTGGTAGTATTACAGCAGCTGGTTAGTTACCAGGTGCTAGCTACTTTAAGTGGACGGTGTTTTTTGGTTTTTCTTGAGACATTGGTGCAGGCGTATGCAGATTTACAAAACGCTTTTTTGGTTTATTTATCAAATAATGCCTGCCATCTTGGAAGTGAAGTTCAAAATGGCTGCTTAAAGGACCACAGCATAGGGGGGTCTGGGCGGGTTCAGCTGAAGCACCGTTGGGATTTTACTCTCGCAAGTGTTGTGTTTTTTGGTCAAGGCAAACAGACGCATAAAAGAAGTCGCAGGCTTAATTTACAAACATTTTCTCAGTTCAAGCTGCGTTGGAGGCTTGTGTACCATTAGGAGACGGGCATTCGGACATCACCGGGGTTACAAATTAATCTATTAGCAATTGGGGGTGGGTGGGTCAGAGCAACTCTCCAGCCATGGGGGTAAAGGGAACTAGGGCGGGCAGTTGGCTGCACCACTGGTATCACTGTGGAGGTATCCAAAGACCAGGATGTGTCCACTCACAGAGGGGTGGGTCCTCTGGGTGCTCACCTGGTAAAACGGCCAGAGGCAGCTTTTCTGAGAGGAGCAGTAGGTGGGCAGAGGGGGGCGTGCAACTCCTCATCAGGTGTGTCGTGCCTTCAAATCTTTATTTTTCTTGATGAAATAATCAAAAGCAGATGCACTGACTGTGTGAAGGTTGAATGGTGCTACTTGATGTGTGTAGGCCCGTGTACGTTGTGCCCATCGAGTTTTTCAACTTGTTTTATTGCACATCTAGTTTTTATAGATATCATGAATATGTGTCCTTAAGCTTCCAAATATGACGTGTGAAGAAAAACTAAATCCGCAGCTTGTTTACAGGGGGGAGGGGACGTTTAAACCTGGATTTATTTGGGACCAGGGGGTTTAGCAGTGGGGGGATTCAGCCATTTGCACAGATGTCTAGATTCTACTTTTGCTGCTAGTTTTGTGTAATTTATTATGCGTTTTTGACAAATATTTATTTTTGTAAGCCTCAAAGTGATTCTTTGAAAGTTTCTAAAACTTGACCAAAAGACAGTACAAAAAACACTGGCACTTGAATGTTGAATGTCACCTGTATGCGTGAAGTTTATATATGTCGGGGTAGTGTGAGCTTTTTAACGTCGGGAGACTCCACAGCTGTTTTAGGGCCGCTCATCTGTTAGGATAAATTAATTGGAATCAAAATTCAAAGTGAAATTAAAGAATGATGCCAAGGTTTGTAGTGAGGCTGTCAGTCCAATCCCTAAGCATGTCAGAGCAGAAGTGTTGACTGTCTGACCTGACCTGATAATTGTTTTCTGTAGTCGATGTCTGGCACATGGCAATCCTTAAACATGTGGTTTATTCTCATTGGTGTATTTGCTTACCTGATGCCTCTGGAGTTCTCCTACTGTGGAACTGCTCTCCAGCCTCGTGCTGTGCGAGCACCATCAGAACAGAATCTGACACGTTCCTCTATCTCTGGAGAACCCCAGGGCTCTTTAGATGTAGACTTTGCTTTTCTGTATAGCCTCTGGGCTACTGCACCGCATGGAAGGTACTAAGCTGTGCAGCTTGTTTGATTTTACCAAAATAAAAGCTTTGGAGACTAAAGGATCTGGAGAAATTGGCATGTTTTGTGAGAACTTGTGTGTAGAACTGGTGTAGCATGAGGCCCAGGGCCGTAAAGTCCCATTTGTAATTGGATCAAGTTCATTTGTTCAAGAGAATAAAATCTTTTCATTTGTACACCAACTTGTCGGTTGTGTATTTTCCATATTTGTAACAGTGAAATTGTGCTAGATTTCATGATCTCATTCATAAAAATACAGCTCATCTTTCACCACAGCAGCATAAGTCAGATTTCTTCCTGTCACCACGTGCTCTTATCCTCCCTCCAGCTGTCTGTGGAGGACAAAATGACACATGGATTTAGGACTATTGGAGTGAATTCCTGGTGTTGCAGACATTTGGAAGATGGGCGTGATTGGAATGTCACAGATTACATGTGGTCTAGTTTTAGAGCCACACCCCACACTGGCCATAGACTAGTGGAGGGAGGTATGGTGTGAGGGTTAGGCACAATCCAGTGACTGTCCTCACAACCAATGCTAGACTGTGTGTTCGATTTCATCTAGTCTGTTTAGATGCACAGAAATGAGCACGTTTATCAATTGTGGTGTTTTATTTTGAAAAATGTATATTTTGTTAAATTTACCAGCCTGACTTCTGTTTTGGTTTGACTTCCTGCCAGAATTGACGTGGCTCACGAAAAAATTAGAGCTGGAAACGATCGATGCACGGCGCGAGCCTCCGTGGCGCTTCGCAGACCGAGAGCGTAGGTGAACAAGGGCAACAACGTCATACGTCAGAGTTTAACAAGAAGCACGTGCCTCTGGAGCATCGACATACATGCAGACTCTTTTCAGTGGGTTTTTGCGATCTCCATTTTTTTTATTACCACATAAAATAAAAATCCTCTCATGGAATGAACCTGTTGTTGACAACTGATATAGTTTCACATCAGTGCGGACCATCCTACCACAAAGTTACTACTGCTGAAGATGATGCTCACCAGGGGCGCAGCTACCTGCTTTATGAGGGGTATGCGGCCATATAATTGAGCCCCCCCTCCTCACTTAGATCTAGCTGAATCAACAACACCCCCCTACTACCACCACCCCCGCTGCTCTCACGGAGATCCGGCTGCTCCCAGAAGCCTGTGTGAGATTAAAACCTTGATCTTGTGATCGATACTGAAGACACCCGTAACCTGTCATTTTACTAGGCATGGGAGTTTGCCCAACCAATCCACATGTGCTTTGTGGATTTGGAGAAGGCTTATGACCGTGTCCCCAGGGGCACCCTGTAGGGGACGCTCCAGGAGTATGGGGTGGGTGGCTTTCTGTTAAGGGCCATTCAGTCCCTTTACCAGAGGAGCGTGAGTTTGGTCCGCATAGCCGGTAGTAAGTCGGACCTGTTCCCGGTGAGGGTTGGACTCCGCCAGGTCTGCCCTTTGTCACCGGTTCTGTCCATTACCTTTATGGACAGAATTTCTAGGCGCAGCCGTGGTGTGGAGTGTGTCGAGTTTGGTGGCAGGAGAATCTCGTCTCTGCTTTTTGCGGATGATGTGGTCCTCCTAGCTTCATCCAGCTCTGACCTTCAGCTCTTTCTGGGTAGGTTCGCGGCAAAGTGTGAAGCGGCTGGGATGAGGATCAGCACCTCCAAATCTGAGACCACGGTTCTCGACCGGAAAAGGGTGGCTTGCCAACTCCGGGTCGGGAGAGAGGTCCTACCTCAAGTGGAGGAGTTTAAGTATCTCGGGGTCTTGTTCACGAGTGAGGGTAGGAGGGATCGGGAGATCGACAGACGGATTGGTTCAGCGTCTGCAGTGATGCGGACGTTTAGCCGATCTGTCGTGGTGAAGAGGGAGCTGAGCCAGAAAGCCAGGCTCTTGATTTACCGGTCGATCTACATCCCAATCCTCACCTATCTATGGTCATGAGCTTTGGGTAATGACCGAAAGAATGAGATCACGGATACAAGCGGCCGAAATGAGTTTCCTCCATATGGTGGCCGGGTTCAGCCTTAGAGATAGGGTGAGGAGCTCGGACATCCGGGAGGGACTCGGAGTAGAACCGCTGCTCCTCCGGATCGAAAGGAGCCAGTTGAGGTGGTTTGGGCATCTGGTCAGGATGCCTCCTGGACGCCTCCCTGGGGAGGTGTTTCGAGCATGTCCTGCTGGCAGGAGGTCCCCGGGTCGACCCAGGACACGTTGGAGAGGTTACATCTCCAGTCTGGTCCGGGAACGCCTTGGGGTCCTGCTGGTGGAGAAGGCCGGGGAGAGGACGGTCTGGAGCTCCCTAGTTGGGATGCTGCCCCCGCGACCCGGACCCGGATAAGCGGAGGAAGACGACGACGACGACGTGCACAAATAGCTATGAAACACAAAAATGCCTTTTTCCCCCATCATTGCTTAGGCGCCCCCTCCAGCACGGACAGGCGTGTTGCAAGATTTTCAAAAGTGTGGGGGATGTTGTCTGTGCCTAAAATAATTTCATGTTATTCATCTTGTTAGTTTAATTTCCATAATAGCAGAGCAGGTGCGAATTTTAGACGTGTCATGCATGTCTCCGTTTTAAACATGTTTAAACTGTTCAGAATACAAATCCAGGCTCTGTCTCGTTAGATTGGTGTAACTAAAGTTTGTACTGAATGAAACTTTACATTAAACCATGTTGAAAAGAACAGGATCCGATTAAATCGTTTCCCCCTCATTTACAGTCACGGAGTACAGCGCAGTGCGCGTGGCTCTGGGGTTAATCAAGTTTAATTGTTTCTCTTTGCAACAATCTTCACAAGAAGGCAAAACAGTTAAATGGCAGGTTACAGATATTTCAATTTGACTGTTTATTTTGACAGATAAACTCAAGGATGTTGGTTGTTTTGAAAGAATTACCCCGACGCACACTGATGCACACACAGATGAGCTGACATTTTAATCGTTAACGCACATCGCGGAGGTAACTAAATCAATCAACAAATGATTCCCATCAGAACATCAGAGCTTTATACTGGACACACTGTGCTCAGCGCGGCTCGGAGCGCACACGGTGGACAGTGGGCTGAAGATCTGTAGAGGGGTGTGCAGAACCACAGCGATGAGGTAAGATTTCCTCCCACTGGAACGGTCTGGAAACCCGGTCTCTCTGAGGGATGTGTCACTTGGAAAAATGTTTGCTGATTATGAAACTTTGGCTGAACAGCGCTTGTTCCCGTCTCTCTCCTCTAATATGGAGATGCATGTATCATCACAGAACATCCCACAATAAACATGACTCCACTAACACAGGCGCGTGCAGCTTGGGCCTTAATTAAACACAACATCCACGTAAGTCCACAGCAGAAACATCTGCGCTAGACATCTTTGTCATTTTGACCGACAGAATTTAAAATAAGGTCATGGTCGTTTCTTCCCATCATTTTCATTTATCAATAATAAATACAAATTTACTATTTAATTTCCATTCATTTGTCGTTAATATTTAGTCTAAACAAGCTGTCCACCAACAGATTCATGTTACAATTAAACAATTTCCCCTAAAGTTGGAACGTTTCACCTGCTGGTTCTGGTTCTGCTGCTGACCCATGACCCACAGATGCTGGAGCTGCTGTCACAGCTCCTCAGAGTGCTGATATTGAGCTTCTCTGATCATGATGTCCAAGTTTGAGATGGCCTAATGCTCAGATGTTCTGATGGGAATCTTCTTGATTTACCTCCGTGAGATTCTCTGTGCATAACGCATCAATTTTCTGCACCCCTGCGTGTGTCAGTCGATGTAATTCCAGTCTGTCAGAATGACCAACAGCCTTGAGATTCTCCATCTAAATTAACGGTCAAATATGGAAAATATTCCTAGGAGTGCTTAGCGGCATGTTGGGTGTGATCTGGCTGAACCTGAGCTGACTGTGACTGCTAGAAAAGGTGTTCTGCTGTTCATTACTGCTGCCAGTGTTGACTCGAGGCCTTTCACGGCCACATAATTGTGACTATGGACAGTAGTTTTCAATGGAGCAACTGTTTATGCATTTGAATTTATAAATGACCTTTTCTTTAGCTTTAATTTTCTAACGTTTGGGTGGAAAGTAACTACATTACTGTTGGGTTTTCAGTAAAGTTCAGTTACAAATGAAGGAACTTAATGTTTTAATTCTAGTTAGACAAAAAATCTTTCATGTAAAAGAAAAAGAGGAGAAAACAGATCACCTGTAGGACGGTCTTCCATGTGTAGTTTTCAGAAACCTGTGGAATGTGACCTACATTCATCTAATGTACATGACTGGAATACCAGACTCCTGCACACTCAGTAGTGTAACACGCCTAAAACACGTGTGTTAGGTTAATATGTAAGTGGCTTTGGTAAAATACATCATTAATTATAAAACACATATCTGCATCCTTTCACAGCACACATTTCATATCATCTTTAGACTAGTGCTGCCCCAATTCTTGGTGTCTCACAAGGGCTCGTCAGATAAAAGATGAAAAGGTCCGCAACAATGTAGAATCATATCAATAAACCAAACATGGCGACGTGAGGAGAGGCAGCTTCAGGTGAGGCAAGGTCAGGTGAGGCTGCTTCAGGAGAGGCGACGTCAGGAGAGGAGAGGTCAGGAGGGGCGACGTCAGGAGAGGCGAGGTCAGGAGGGGCGACGTCAGGAGAGGCGAGGTCAGGAGGGGCGACGTCAGGAGAGGCAGCTTCAGGAGAGGCAGCTTCAGGAGAGGCGACGTCAGGAGAGGCGAGGTCAGGAGGGACGACGTCAGGAGAGGCGATGTCAGGAGGGGCGAGGTCAGGAGGGGCGACGTCAGGAGAGGCAGCTTCAAGAGAGGCGAGGTCAGGTGAGGCGGCTTCAGGTGAGGCGACGTGAGGAGAGGCAGGTTCAGGTGAGGCGAGGTCAGGTGAGGCGGCTTCAGGAGAGGCGACGTCAGGAGAGGCGAGGTCAGGAGGAGCGACGTCAGGAGGAGTGACGTCAGGAGAGGCGAGGTCAGGAGGGACGACGTCAGGAGAGGCGATGTCAGGAGGGGCGAGGTCAGGAGAGGCAGCTTCAGGAGAGGCGAGGTCAGGAGAGGCAGCTTCAGGAGAGGCAAGGTCAGAAGAGGCGAGGTCAGGGGAGGCCAGCTTCAGGAGGGGCGACATCAGGAAAGGCGGCTTCAGGAGAGGCAATGTCAGGAGAGGCAGGTTCAGGAG